ACAACCATGTTAAGCTGTCAGAAGTTGTCCTGTACCTCAACCTTGCATGTCCCCATAAATTTAAGATGCCTGACTTGATGTGCATTGAAACTATTGCAAGGCTTCCACCCACTTGATTGGAAATTGAATTAGGCTCCATTCAGGTTAAAACAGCAAGATTAAATTTTCAGATGTGGGTCTGAAGTACATTTAAAGAAAGACCAGCAAAGCAAGCACAACTATACCAGACTTTAAGAGATTCCCGGGTAAATTAAAATAAATTTACAATGTGCAGTCTTCATGTCCCAGGCCAGTTTCTACCCATGTTTGCAGTAGAATCATCAAACCTGCCTGGCTGTCAATAAGCAGTTTGGGCAAGCACATCTGAAGTCTCCGCTCAGTTCTGTGGACTCAGAGCGTGTACACACACGCCTTTCAAGAGCTTAAGGACTGCAGATTTGTTATCACACGTGCATAGTTCTTTCTTGTATCAAAATCATAAAATTAACTTTTCTTTTCAAGCTTGCAGCATCTCTCTGGCCTGCTGTGAAGAGCCTGCAAGATTTTTGCTTATGTTTCAGATATTTTTGGTTTTTTTTCTCCTCCTACTTGTTTTCTCTCATAAATCCCCTGTCTGATGAGAAAGTGTGGTGTATCCCTTACATATAATAACATCCAGCAGTTGATCTGTCACATGCCTGTTGTATCCAACATCTAGTCTTTCCTTCTGCTACTGTTTTAATGCCTCAGATGATCAGCTTTGTACATATAGTACAAAAGCCAACATATCTTGTAAACTATTCCGGAGTCTGGTAGATTTGGGTGATTTTTTTACTGGGTCTTTCAGAAGGCATAATATTCTACAGTGTGGGACCCAGCTGCTCTGTGGCGGGCCATGGCGGACAGTGAGACCAGGCACCATTTAGAGCAATCCATTTACCCATGCCTCTGCATTTTCTTCCAAAAGAAGCCAAGGTACATGAGAGAAAGACATAAATCCAACTTCTGTCCCACCTTATGGCCAGGGCATGGCTAAAGTATACATCCACGTGCGAGAACTGACATGTATGACTCTCCACAACCATCAGGTCTGTGTCAGAGGTGGTGTCAGAGGTCTGCCCATGTAAATGAATAGTCCATGTGAGAAAATTGTTACTATGCCATCCTGTGTTTTACCCAACAAGTTCTCCTGAAAGTTTTACAGAAAAACTCTCTCTCTGTCTTTCCCTCCCTGGTTCAAAAGCAGGGAGCCCCGAATCAAAATGCTGGTCCCAAGGGGTAGATGCAGAATCACAGAGTTTGTCAAGTCCACAAGGGAAATTAATGTCTTTGCATCATCTGATGAAGGATGAAAGTCATTTGCAGGGAAAAGCTCCAAGCTGGCAATGGTGAGAGCATCACACAGAATGGTTGCATTCATGCTGAGCAGTTCTGGAGCTGTCATCATCAAATCAGGCCTCCATGTTCTCCAATACCAGACATAATTTGTGAATAATGAATACAGCCAGGTCCCTAATGATCTCCAGGTGTGATTTAACCTGGATTAAGCCTTCCACATACTGCATTTAGTTCTTGCAAGGTCATTTCACTTCTAATAAGTACTGGTTTTGCACATGCTCAGCTGTGTTCTTGTCCTTTAATGCAGTAACTGACAGATGGTAGCAAAATATTCCTTTTATAATGAAACCTGCTGAAGGAGATTGCTTAGGGCCTCAGAAAATATAATTTGCCAAATAAAGCATAGTCTCCAGGAAAGAAAGGAAATACTGTAATGTAATATATATTAAATAAATTTCCTCAGGCATCTGGTGATCAGTAGCTTTTTCTCACATCAGAGAGGTGACCCAACTGTTTATTTCCAATTAGTTATTGCCTCATTCACCTTTGTACTCTCAAAAGTCTAGTTTCTGTGAGTTGGCATAAGTAGTGCCTCTAAAAATGTGCACATTAACTGTGTGAGGATTTGTTGTAGAGGCTTCATAGGTACCAGATTTGTATCTGCAGTGTGTAGTCACATACTTGAGGTTTTCACTTACACTATAATTAGCCTCGTTTCTGGGTGAATTTCGCACTGGTTTTTTAGACACAATTATGCCCATTTTTCTTAAATCACTACTCATTCTTACCAGCATTGCTACTGAATCCTTTATGTGACCATGCACACCCTGGATTTTTCCATGGCCTGTGCAAGCTTATTTTGGCACCTGAATACATCAGAGATGTCTAATTTATCATCTTCCATGAGGCAGGCAGTTTTGGATGGCTGAAACCTCCCCTTTTCACACCTTCAGGAACCTGCAACCTTCTTTTAAAGCCAGTCGTTTGCTAAGTAGCTATCTGTGCCACTCTTAGTTTCCTCAGGCTCCCCCATAACCCATTTTTTACTCTTTTATCCTCCATACCAACACACAGTTAAGGAAGACTTGATGTGACTTCCTTTAGCATCCATTTACACTGTCCTATAAATCACACAAAATGTTCTGCACAGGCTCAAATCTGGGCATTAAATGAGAATCCGTCTGTTCGTTGCTCCCAAAGGGAATACAGTTTCTTTCTCTGCATCACTGCTTGACAAAACTTCTAATCCCGTCTGAAACTGCTAGTGTGCTGTGTTTGGGGCCTGTTATATCAAATACACATATCTCTCTGCTCTCTCCTTCCCCTGTGAGGAATTGTTATTTTTAGCCTATTTTTCTATCTCTGATGGAGTCAAAAGTTACATCTTAACCTATACAAGCTCTGGTGGCATTATGCTTCTCTGCTCTTCTGCTGCAGTGTCATGAAATCTGTGATCCAGCTCTGTTCTTCTGATCTGTAACTCCCTTGTCATTACTGCCCTTATGGAGAAATTCATGCAAACACTTCTCTTGTTTTTGTTTCTTGCCTGGGTTTTCTTTCATTATTCTTGGATGTCATGGCCAGCAGTAAATGAGTATTTGCATTAGCCTTTGGCTCTGTCAGGAGGGGAATCAACAGTACTGGACAACTTAGAGCATACTCCTGCTGCTATAATGTGCCCTGTCATTACAGCACTACAGGAGTGTTAGTGTCAAGGTGATGGAGCTGCCAGAGCACTCAGGCACACCATTATTTTAAGAGCGGGTCACTGCAACTCTTGAACTGCAAACTCTCTCCTACTGTAGGTGTCTAAATCTGTGCTATGTTTCCCTTTGCAGCCAGTGAGGAAAATAAGAGGCAGCTCGAAGGTCCAATCTGTTTCAACCTAAAGTAAATAACTAAAATACGTGACTGAAAAGTTATTTCATTTCTACTGACTAAAAGGGCAGCATAGGCTGACGAGCTTCCATGGACATGACTTCACACAGATCTCTGGCCAGGAGACATGCCCCCCTTGGCCACTACAACTGCAGCAAACCACGGGTGACTCAATGCATCTCACTCCTCCTTCCCTCTGGGCTAAGATCTGTCAGAGCACTTTGTTGCTGGGGACTAAGGATACACATATGTGTGTACGTCACTCAAATGCACATACTGCTTCTTAGCTGACACATGGCAATTTGTTCTTCTTTGCAATGCGAGGGAACCCGTGAACCCACGATGCATCTGAGCCATCGGGCACCGCATATGGGGCAGCTGCTCCTTGGAGCCAGCCTATAAAGAGCACAGAGTACATCACTGGGGGCTTTTTTGTGTTGATTTTTTTTTTTTTTAATTGAGAATGAGGAAGTGCCTGACTCTTTTTACCAGTCTCACAGATTGTGAAGCCTTTACTCATCTATAAAGAGGCACATTTGACATAGTTTGGATTTTTTACCTGTTTTTAGCTTGGAACATTCACACCTCCAGAAATGCCCTAGAGCAACCCAAGCCCAGTGTCTCTCTTTTATTACCAAAAATGCTTGCCAAGAATTTTGGAACAAGGCACCACTCCAAGTGCATGTTCTAGATGGGCCACATCATTACACCAAATAGTGCAAATTTGCTTGTGTTTGAGGCTATCCAGTCCCATGCAACCTCCAGATGCTTACCTTGACTCCCACAACCAGAACAAGAGCACCATTCCTGCACAGCCCCCTCTCAAACCACCATATCTCCAGCCCCATGCTCTCTGCTTCTGACGTTTTGCATGGAACTGCTGAGCATTTCACAGAGCAGATGCAGCAGCATGAGTCACTGCCTCACCGAGGAACAAGCTGCTGCATATCAGTTGCTCCATGGAAACAGCATATGTATATCCTTGAATATTGTACAATGCACTTTGAGGCCACATACGTGCTTCTGAAATAGAGATAATTTGTTTACTTCAGGTATACCCAGGAGAAGAGCAATCTGTGTCACACAGCTGCCTGGGTACTTCTGATGGAACATCTAACATGTGATGGCTTGGCTGGGATTTGGATGGTTCAGGCCACCTGGCTGCAGAAAAAGGAGGTCAAAGCAGGAGCCTTGACTTGTTTGCCCTTAAGGCTGTCTCTCTTTCAGTCCTCAAAACAGGGTAGCTTTCCGCAAACCACCTGTTAGGAATGGTCCCTGAAATATGCTGACCCCCAAAACGTGCTTGGGAATTGTTTGGGACAGGGGCCAACACCATGCCAGGCACTGGTTGAAGAGTATAACAGGGTAGATGATTGTGCTCTAGTATCTAGAAACATTGCTAGTGACTGCTGAATTTATTCTTATAGATGTAGCTGGATGTTTTCATCCATGTTCCCTAGAGGCGATCTTTGTTTACAGCTTTAATAGCTAGAAAATGTGAGTTTTCTGACCATCCCCACAATTTACGGCACATCCTTCAAGCTGTTATAATGAAGAAGCACTAGCAACAAACTTATTACTTACTCCACAAGCAAAATTTCTCTTCTTGGCAGCTCTTGGCATAAATGTACTTCAAAAAGTGTCTTAATATTTGACAAACAAATAAATTGTTTATAATTGTCTTGTCTTTAGATGTGATATAAAGTAATGATCTATTTTATAGAGTTGAAAGGAAGCAGACAGGTTTAACTGAAGTAAATGAAATCTACATGACCACCTGTTTGTTTTATTTTTAAACTGTATAGGAAATCAATGTATTGACAGTAGCATTGGTCAACCAAGACAGAGAAAAAAATTCAGAGAAACGAAGCCCGGGTCTAAAATCAGAGAAAGAGGCACTATTAATAGGTAAGACAACCCCAAAGAAGGTATTTGAGAACAAAAAGCCTTTTAACAAGTTTTGGTTTTGCATGTGTCTTTGCATGCATCTCTGTGCTAGTAAAATTAAAAAAAAATATTTTTTTTGTGTTTTATATGTATTCGTAATGGCTTTTAGTAAGATAAATCCTAAAGTACAAGTGAACTTTTCCTTTCTGAAAAATTCTGCAGAGTTTAATGACAGGATTTTGGGTATGAAAAGAATTGCAGGATCTGCATTTAGACTTGCAGCATGAAAGTATGAAGACTTTATTTACATCAAGATTTAGCTAGCTAGAATTGTATAACTTGTCATCTTATTATTAGAAAAAAGGGTGAAGGAGAAGGAGATGGAAATAATATTAGCAAACTACCAAGTAAAAAAAATATATATACTGGATGTGTTAAGCAAGCCAGATTTATGCTTTTACATTAGGTGACGAAATTATCAATATGAATATTTATAAAGAATACCACAAGGACTGTCATATCCTTTACTTAGAATAAAATCTTTAAAATAAACTCTTAGAGTGCCTAAAAGCTAAAGCTTATAGGCAGTGGGCCAGCTAACTGGTACCTAGCATTTAGCCACAGAGGAATGCTGGCTGTACCCATGGCACCCTTGGAGGGAACAGGCCCCATGTATATCTGTGCATGTTTTGCATTTGTGGGGCAGGTTTTCATGGAGCCTAAAGGCCCACGGTCCAAAGTGCTCCCTATGGCATTGTTGCCATTCACAGGAATGCTGACCTGAAAGACCAGGTTTCATTTCTTTGGTTTGGTCTTTTCACAAAAGCAGCGGTATGCCGGTAGGTGATAGTTCCAAAACTACCTCAATTTGTCTAAATGCAACTCATTTGCACCTGCTAAGCACCAGGAAAGTTGCTGGTTTATTGCTGGGGTACAGATTCAGGCAGTTCAGACCACAAAGGTCATTTTAAAGTGAAGAATGTATTTAAATGTTTAAAGGGCTTAGTACACAAACTTCCTGTGACTGGTGAGATGTGGGACAGGGGGATGTACAGAAGTGCATGAATTGATTTAGTTTTGCTTGTTATAATAAAATTTGGATCTTTTAATTGCAATGGACAATATTTGATCTGTTCAAAGATGATTTCCATGAGAAGGGTAGCAAGGATGGTATTTTAAGAACAGAGTAACAAACTTATTTTTCTAGGTGACTCGTTATTTGACAGTAACAAGTAGTGTCAGTGTCCCAAAGTGGGTTCCATCCACCAGCTGTCCAGTTGCACACTCAGATAAACAGTGTAATCTCAGTCCAGATATTACTGGTCATAATACCCTCACAACTGGCTCTTTGTTACAGTTCAAAGGCAAAAGATTGCTCAAGATGGACTTCATGTTATCTCTTCATCGGAAGCATGTTCAGATGTTGCAAGGGAAAAACTGTCCTTGCCTCCATCCGTTCATTAACTTTGTCTGTATTTAAAAAAAAAAATTCAATTTTATCTTAGAAGAAAAGAGCATAAAAGGAAAAAAATACTAAACAGTTATCATGGAACTCCAGTAAATAACTACAAAATATTTTCAAATTACTTTTTATTTACATCATATGAAAGAGCTAGCTTTGAACATCCTGAACTGAAAAGGCTTGGGAACATACATAACAAATGCAATGCCACTGATAAAATGTGATTTGAATACAAATTAGATTTCCAGTCAACCCATCCAAGTGTGATGGTCTTGGCTTTTGCTTCAAGAGCTCTAGTGTGTGTGCTTATGGTCACGCACAGAACAAAGAAGGCAACTGCCGTAGGACTCACCATAGTATGAAATTAAATTAAATACATGCCCCTCCCTTTGCAGGATCAGAAGCTTGTAAATTCTACTGTAAAAATGAGGGAGGAAAAAAGGTGTTCTTTGCAAGGCCAGTCTAAAATGAGTTACATGTTACTTATAATTTTCAACCATGGCCAGTATTTGGGGAAAAATTAAATCCAAGATTATCCTAACTCATTTAGCATCAAGAAAGCAGTATGGCCTGCAGTACACAAGATACAGTGACCCATTTTTGTCATTTGTAAGCATTTTTAATCCTGGTGTTTATGCTTTAAATATAAGGAACTTCCCCTAGGGTGGTTTAGCTAAGAAACCCATCCAAACAGAGTTGAAAATGTTTGCTCTGATTCTTACAGTTCAACTCTCCCCAAACAGTAAACAACACACATGCCATTTTGTATTTTCACTGTGTGTTTAGAAGAGGAGAAATTGGACAGTGTCTTTAATAGCAATTCTGATGCCCCAAATCTTGTTTTCTCTGGTCATCATTATTATGCTGTCACTTGATTTTCATTGCAGAACAAAATATCTCAGTTTAGATCCTGACTCCTCCTAAGCCACTTTTATTTCCATACCTTTTACAAAGATCCTGTAAATAACAGTGAAGATAGACAGAACTGGCTCTCTTTTAAGAGAAAGTAAATAAGTAAATATGTCATAAAGGATTTGTGTTTTCTGCAGCAGTAGTTAGGGGTAATATGGATTAAACACTTTTCATAACCAACATCAGCATAATTGCTAGAAAAATTTGAGGGAGTGAGGTTTCTGACACAATTATATGAAACGTTTTCACAACAGAGCATCCAGTGAAGAGGAAAAAAGCAATAATTTTACCATTACAATATCCACAATTTTATATTGGTAAATCAAGCATAAAATTGGTAGTTGAAATGCTTCCAGCGAGTCTTTGTTTAGAAATTCCTTTATTCATCAATATATTATCTTGGTCACTTACTTGCTAACTGCTGTCATTCCTGAAGATGAGCTATTGTGTTTACCATGTTATTATGACTGCATTAAAAATGTGCCATTTTGTTATGTTTATTGGGTTGTGTAAGAAAAATAAGAATCATAATTCATACTGAAAAACCTACAAGAACAGACTATTCAGAACTATTTTTTCTTATTGTAATGATATATTGTCTGAGGCAATTTCAATACTTTGTTTGCGTTTTTTTTTATACAGGTATCATATCCACATTTCTTCACGTCCACCCTTTTGGAGCCAATATAGAATATCTTTGGTCTTATATGCAGCAGTTGGACTCTAGGGTAAAAAAAATTAATCAAAATCTGTTTTCTCTATAGAAATATTGTATTATTCTTTACTGCAGGTTAAACTCTTCATGTGTTTCCATTAGAAAGATAATGGGATATGGGGCTTGGGGGTTTGCAGTCTTTATTCATTCGCAAATTACAGTGCACGTGCTTGTGTCGAGGTCTTTGCCTTGCTCTGCTTAGCTATTCTTTGCGGCAAAGAAGAGCAGGGCTTTAAATGGCAAAGACTAGCAGCTGATTTTATGATATGTGATCCTGAAGTACAGCTGAGGAGAAAGAAAGCAGAACAAGAGGCAGGTGTAGCCATGGCCATGAAACTGTGCAGCATTTTAGGAGACAATTCCTTATTTTTGTAAAAGTTCTTAGCCATGGGTAACACTGAACCTGAACTTTCATGATCAGATGAATGGACCATGAACCATACCCTTCATCTCCATGTGGAAGTGGAGAGGGCCTCATAAAAGAATTGTCTGACCCTATTGCTAAATTCAGAGGAGGAGTGGCCAACACAAAAGTGAGGCTGACACACTACAGTGTGCAAAGTGTTTTTAGTGCATATTTTGTACAGTCCATAATCAATACATACCTGTAGGATAAGAATGTTTGACTTAGTTTTAAATATCTACTGTAGGATGAGATGAAATCAAGCCCCAGAAGGGCCTATTCATCTTCACTGAATGTTAGGTAAGTCAAGGGTGAGAAGCTCAGCTGTGAAATATCCACCTTTGATCAGGTGAATGCTACTCTTAAGTGCTAAACAATGGCTCTGCAGGATGCTAGACTGCATGAGATACTTAGCCAATGCAGGGGTCACCCTGCAGTTAGCCACAGCTCTGATCCACACCTGCCAATACTTCCTCTGGACATGGGGATGATGGTGCTTGCCCAGATCTTCTTACAACGCGGAGTCATGATGTAGCTATGGTGTGCACCTGGACTCAGAATGTGAATGGGACTCCTTGGGTGGTGGTCATTAGACACACCTCCTTTGATCCTGGTAATATTTTGTTCCTGAACACTCCCTCCAGCCATGCCACCCATAGCCAGGATCACCTTCTGGCTGATTTGATGGGCTGCTTTGATGGGCTGCTTCATGCCTCTGAAGGATTTTTCTGTTTCTATTAAAAAGTGCATAGTTAAAAACAGAGGAAATCTTGAGCTAGAAGCCCACCGGAAATAAAACAGGCTCCATGGATGAAGGATGATGAAGTCCTTAGGCGCTATCTTCAAGCCATGGCAGCTCAGATTTGCTAGTGCTTTACAGTCCACTGCTACCCACAATGAAAAGGGAATGAGGGATGAGGATGGTAGTGGTGAGAAACTGGTGAATTTCAATTTAAAAAAAAAAATCTGATTTGATCAAGACCTGATACTCCAGAGCTTCACACCTGCAGCCATTCCTCATCTGCTTCTCTATTCCCTGCCTCTGCCACGTGTACACCTCTTCAGTCATCTTTCAAGTCCTTCCTTAACACACAGTATTTGGCTAAGTTTCAACTGCTTTTTCCCCTGGCTGACTCCTCCAGCTCTGTATCTCTTGCGTGGCAACAGCAATCATTTAAAACACCAGCTTCTTGGGCTCCAGCCCTGCTGCACATTGCTTCTGCCCACTGAGCTCTTCAATTTTCTCCCTCTTTACTGCTGCAGTCCCTCTTTGTGAGTGTCCATGGGCTCTGTCCTTGAATTTCTACTTGTGTGAGTAACTTGCTGGCATCTGCAAGGCTCCCAGGATCAAACTCTTAACTTGCAAACAGAGCCTTCATGGAAGGAGCATTGTCTCCATCTCTCCGAGGTGCCAACGTACCAGCCCCTGCAGCTACCACTTGACCTACCTGCTGCATAATAAACATGAGCCGCAAAATTTGACCTCCCTGGTTTACTTTGGAAGTAACTGCTTGTAGCAACAAATTACTTTTTAATAGCCCAATCCAGAGATGCAATCTCAGAGATTAATTTTAATTACTTTCCATGGTTAGCCTGTCATTCCTCACCTGAACAGGGATGATAAGGTCAGCATACCCGGGCGGGCTGAGGGCTCAGTATAGAGCTCAGATACATTACCCAAAGGTAACCAGCTATCCATTACTGCCATAAAAGTATGTAAAAGATGGGCCTGATTACTTTGGGGCTTTAAACTGTCTCCAACACTGATTTTTGAGCACCTTTAACAAATCATTTAATATTTCTGCTTCACTAACCTCTTCAGGAAAATAAGAAGTGATAGATACTTTCTGTCCTTCTTTGGGTAGAATAAGGTGTAATTAGCACATTTTTTTGCTTATATGCTACTTTAAAAAAAATAAAATTTTTCATCATGTTCCTACTAACATGAATAAGCAGAAATATCATCATTGCCAGAGAAGCCTATCAATCTGTGGAGATACCTGTGGATAACAGGCAGCACCCACAGATTTTTACTGTTCCTTTCATGACCATCACTTTACAAGAAGTAGCTGTGGGATAAAATGGTTCATTTTCCATGACTGATCATGTCTTGATTTCCCTACTGATTATACCAAAAATGTTGCCTTTGTGAAAGTGTTTCCTGCAATAAGAGCATCCTTCCCTTTAGGGATGTGACCAGTTATTAAGATTTCAAGACCATAAAAACATCCTGAGCAATGCTGAGGCAGGAACTTCACTGTTCAGTTATCTGGGGCTGCTGAACTGGTCCAAACTGGGAGAAGATGGTTCCACAGATAGTCAACCCTAAGTAAGAAAACTGAGCTAATTAAAAATAAAATCCACGTGTTAGTAGTTTTTGCAACAGAAAAATTGATGGAGCTGGGAGAAGAAGGATTCAAGCATTTGTGGGATGAGAAGGGAGAATAAAGTCTCATTTGCTTCCTTCTCCGCACAAGTATACACACTATCATGGTTCTTAGATGGACTTTGTACTGTACTGTATGGCAGCAGCCCCGACATAGCAGTTGTCGTTCTTTTACAGTGGGACAGCACTTACAAAAGCAGAATCATTCCTGCAAGGACAAGAAATCTGCACTCGCTTTGCAGTCTGGCAATTCATGTCAGACTAAAGATAACAAAAAAAATTAAAAATAATAATGGTGGGTTGTTTTCGTCTGCCCTGGATTTCCACCTCCACCTTCCCCCCCACCCTTATTTCTGTTCTCCATATTTCTTCTTTCCAATCTACATGGCAGCTTTCTCACTTTAATTTTACCTTTCTCTTTTTCTCAGATCTCTGCAAATGAGATAGAAATGCTTTTAACAAGACTGCCACGCATGTTTAAACAAGAATTCACTGGTGTAGGAGCAACACTGGAAAAGAGGTGGAAGTTTTGTGCCTTTGAAGGAATTAAAACTATCTGACTGTGACTAGTAATGAAGCTATGCAGAAGAATTCCTAGAGCATGGCAGGGTTATAAAGTATGAAAGTAAGAAATTTTGGTTTGGGCACATAGTAGTATGTTTTCAAAGTTATCCAAGCCTAATTTTAGTTACATTTGTGATGTTTTCTTGTGAGTGGAAATGTAGTTGTGCACCAGTTCCTAAAATAAAATAAAATTTTTTAAAAGTTTCAAAATGTGACAGATCTGTTTCCTATGAAAACTGAAGAAAGATATCACAATCATAAAGATTTCAAAATATTACATGTCCTACATCTAAGAAAAGCTCATTGAGCAAACAGTTAAGGAGAAAGATTGCCCAGTTATGGTCGCCATGCTACAGCAATGTATATGTAATATGTAGTAGAACTCATTAAGTTTCGTTATTGAAAGTTCTTTCTGTTTAGTAAGAAAAACTGAGTAATTTTGCAGTGAGGAAAAGCATACCAAAAGAAAACTTGAAGATGTGTCTGAAGTTATTGTATTTTGTAAATTAAGTTATATGCTGTACCAGGGATTTTTGCCTTATTGAAAGAGGCCTGAAAATGTGATTGGAGTCCTCAAGAATGCTTTATCAAGAATATTATTTTTCTAATGTAACTATTCTCCATTACAAGTTCTTTTAACATGGATTGCATATCAATTTTCATAAACATGTAAATAAGGAGGAAACCAGTGTTACTGTATTGTATTTGGTATGTAACATTCAGGTTTATGCATCAAAATAAATACTCAGTTGCATTACTGTTAAAATTTTATAGCAGATATATTAATTTTTATCAATAAATATGACTTCTACCATATTGTTTGTGAAAGTTTTTCTTCTGCTGTTTTTGAATTTTTATCAATCCAGCGTCTCCTGGCACTTATCTTTCTCCTACCTAAACTACTAATTGCAGATAACTTGGTTAAATTAATTAGGAATCAAAAAACAGCTTGCAATATTATCTGAGATTGAAATAATTAAAAATATTGGCAGAGGAAGTACCAGCATGGACCTTTGTTTAGCTGAACAGATTTCAGTTGATTTTTTCAGACAAGCAACCAGATTAAAAATGAACACCTTCAAATTTCTCATTTTCAGTGGTGTGTTGGGTAGTCACGATGCATCCAATTAGTTACTTCTTCTAACTCCCAGCTAATGCTTCTGGCCTTTGGCCAGGCAAGGAATGGTATAACTCACTTTTGGTTGCGTCCCTTAGGTAGGGACATCTATGTAAATTATCATTTAGGATTTACTGTCAAACACACAGTACTCCAGCACTCCTCTAAAAGCCAGCGACAGCTGAAGAAATGTGTGCATCAACCAAGCCAGGAGAGAATGGAAAGAATCATTCCTCCCTAAGCTCTACTTTAAAGGACTGAATCAGTACAGCATTTAGCATGGCGCTGGATAAGAAACATCAGCCCCCTCCAAGTCACACCTCTTGGTAGGCAGGGGAGCTGGCCACAAGAGAGTTGGCCCCAGAAAGTGGGGCACCAACAGCAGGAAATATGGCCAATTGCAACAGACGCAGGGAGTATCCAGATACCTGTCAGAGTGATGTTTCACTCAGGTTCTTCAATAAACAGCAATTAGTGTCAAATGCAATTAGTCATGAAGGAACTCTCCTACGTGGCTGTTGGTGATTACTGCCTTAGGACCTATTTCTCTTCTGGCATCTACCTGGAATATAGGAATATTAAATTAAATGTTAATTGTGTAGGAAAGGGAAAAAGAAAAAGGCTTAGCAGGTCTATTATGGGAGAAAATTATGCTTTCAGTCAGTACACAAAAATTGTTTTAAAGTACATGCATTTCTATTATGGTTGCTACAGAACCTGTGTTAAGGTAAGTTATTTGTGTAAAACTAGTAATTATATGCCAGTTATGTTAATGAAAATTAACTAGTTTAATCCAAATAGTAACTAATTCTTTTGTGACCATACAGATTTATGAATAATTCAGGCAAAAATGTGTTAGGTCTGACAGCTCATATTTAAGTACTGTAACATAAATGTGTACGGATGGCACTTAGGCTGGGGAAAAGAGATGTGAGAAAACTTTCACCTCAGCTTTCTTCATACTTATTCACTATATTCTGTCCTCTCTTTTCTCTTGTGTCATCCTTTTTTTCCCTTTAGCTTGTCTTCTCTCCCACAAAACAACTCCCATCCCAGTTAGCCACAAAACATCTTCAAACTGACAGGACCTTGTAACCTAATCGTCATCTTTTCTCTGTGTGTGTTTTCTCTTCCTGGGTTTTTCCTGTCTGTCTAGACCACAAGAGCTTTAGGACAGTGACTTTCTAGTCCTTGTGGCGTATCAGCTAAAAGGGAACCTCTTCACTGGTCTTTAGATATCACCATAGAAGATCTAAACTTTAAGTATAAATAGCATGCAGGCATCCTGCAATATTGTACCATATCAGCTGAGACCATGAAACTTCTGCAGATCCTCATGAGGATCAGGCTGAGCTCCAGAATTGGCTTTAACATTGTGTGCTCATTGGCTTTGGAGGAAACTAGATTAAAATGCTCAACTGCACTTAGCTGCTGAAATGTCCTTGTCATGATCCTTGGGGGATCTAGCTGGGTGTCCTGAAGAGATGGAGTGATACAATGACACAATGGGATGAATATCAAGGAAGCCACCTTTGAAAGACATTTCTTGCAGGTATGTTACTGATACATGGAGAAGATAGTGATGTTCTGCAAGCCAGCATTAAATTCTGGCAATGCCAGTTGAGCAGTAGTGTCAATCAATCTGATGCCATCATAGCTCAGAAAGATGTACTCCATATGCAGCATGTCACTGGAGGATGTCTGTAAAACCCTGAAGCCATGGCTGTAGGTGACAGTGCTTTTGGCACTGTTGGGTATTGCAGCAAAGAGACTTATCTATAATGAAAGAAGAAGTCAGTATGATGGAAATGAAGACTAGCTTTTCTCTATGCCACTTTATCCTGATGACTGGAGCAGAGGCGTGGTCAGCTGCAGCAGAAGTCAGCGTGCTCTCTTCCAGAAAGAAGAAGATGTTGAGGTGGTCAGGTGGTATTTAGAGAAACGAGGCAGTGCAAGTTTATCCAAGTCAGATTGAAAGAGGACACACATATGGCAAAGACTCAAAACCAGTTGGCAGGAGCCTGACAGTGGTAGTGAGAAAGAAAAAAAAAAAAAAAAAAAAAAAAAAGAAAGGAAAGGATAGGCCAAAGAAACACCACCCCACCAGGCTAACCACAAGCTCAGAAGGTGAGATTATGCAATAACCTGGCATGCACCTGCAAATTACATCAGAAAATTATAACAGTGTCCCCTCTTCTCAAATAGGGACTAGTGGAAAAGAAGATTTGGTATTTTGCAGGGAGTTGTAAGCTCAATTGGCCTGAACTCCTGTTCTCCCAGCAGAGCTTTTTAGCTCATCCTCAGCTTTTAATTGTCTTGGAGTGGTGTCAGGGTTGATTTTCATCAGTTTAGAGGGCTAGCCTCTTACGGCACTGTATTTGATTCCCGCTTGAAGGATTAATAGATACACTGTGCAAAAACTCTTGGACAAATGTGCATTTCACCCTGCCCATTCAAGGGAGATGAGTGTAACCTCTCCGTTAAACTGCATTTTATGCCCACAAGAGATAGCAATGTTTGATGAAGACTGCATCATACCTATTACTAAAAAGGGAATTTCTCATATCGCCTCATGCTATTGCACATAGTGGAGCCTAATTGTTTATTGAAGTGTGCATGTTTGGGGCGAAACTCACATGTTCACAACTGCCAGAGCATCACACTTGCTTACGGAACAGCTATACTGAGATTTAGAGAAAACCCTGCATCAAGCTGTGCTACATTTAGCTACACATCATGTACAGTAAATGCTGTGGAATTTAAAGCCAGAAAAATTGTCTTAAGAGCATTCTGGGTGTTTTGTTTAAGACAAAATTCTGGTCTTGCAAGCATTGCTTTATTTAAAATAAGAATGGCTTTGACAGTCAATGTTAGCATGACAAAAATGTTCTGCACTGATGTGAGCTGATTTGCAGAATGGGATTTGGGGAGAGGAAGAGAGGAAGGAATTGGTTGGTTTGGGAGTTATATTCTTTTTCTGCCTCCAGCACCAGTAGTAGCCAGGTCTGATATAAGACTGATGCCCACTTTGCATCATATTCTGTTCATCTCCCCAAAACAGAAGCTTAACAAATCCATCTCAGAGTTCAGCATTTAAAGTGTGCAGCTTTTATCATCTTCTTCCTGTGAAAAGGTACAGGAAGGTGCAGGACTTTTCCTGTCCCTTGACTTGTCACTCTGGTTACCCTGATAAGATCTGCAGCTCTTTTACCCAATTTTTTCCCCTGAAATAGAAAGTAGAAGCAGCAGTAAAATTCATTCTGGTTCTGTAGTCAGTCTCCTCTGGAAGCAACTGCTGAGATGCTCAGGAAAAAAAGAAATGTTCCTACATTTGTTGGCATTAAGTGCCAAAAATCACAACACGATCTGGAGGAAGCCATCCCTTCTCCCAGACTCTCTGAGAGCACAGTCAGCGTGACTGCTTGGGCTAAAGGGTGAGTTGAAACCGCATGTTTCAAAATAAGTAAGTCAACTGAAAAAGCAGCCGAATCAGGAAATTATGTTTACAAGGTGCAGATCCTCTGACTACATAAACTCATTGCATTGAATACATGGAAATCCTAATTTGTAAACAAAATCAAATGGATATGCTCAGGAGTACCTTTGATTAAATGTTTTGCCTCACAGCGGGTAATAGACATTGTCCCTGTTCAGACTTAATGGGCTGACTCCAATGTCATACTCCCTCTCAATATGGATATTTGAGGGTGGGGGAGAGGAGCAGCAAGAGAAAAAAAATTTTTATTCTTCTAAACACAGCAGAGAGCACTCCTGCAATCCTGCCATAGCTATACTATAACCATTTGCTCAAACTTCTGGCTGCTAAGTACTTCTTGCCAATTTATATGCTTTTATGTACACAATATTGAAGCCTAAAAAAAAAAAATCAACCACTTGGACTGCTCGTATCGTAGCCATGTCACAGTTAATTCTGTAGTGATCCCAATAGCGTACAGTGGATTAAAATACATCTCCCATAAAAGCATCCAGCTGTAAGCAAAGTTATCAAGTGACCAAAAAGATACTTTTTTGCTTGATATTTTTAGAAGGGATTAGTATTGTCAAAATTGTGTCCTTACTTCCTAACTTGATTTTTTCTTGCTTCTAGCAATTTTGCTTTTCTCTGCAAGATTAAATAATCCTTTAGTACTGCATATTTTCTCCCCGTGAAGATATTTATAAATTGTAGCCTATTTACTCCTCAGTATTCTTTCTCATAAACTAAACAGATTGAGATTTTAAGTATTTTGCTATAAAGCATTTCTCTTCTCTTCCTCAAATCATTACATCCTTTTTTTCTAATATCCTTTCCAGTTTTTCAACACCTGTTTTAAAATGTGCAGAGAAAAGCTGTTAGGTGTATTAGTCTGATCAATGCTGTATACAGACATGAAGTCACATCTCTGCTCCTATTCAGCTCTCTGCCTTCTATGCCTGTAAGACTATTAGCTGATCACAGATGTCAAAGCAGTAGTCTAAGTAAATCATTGTTAAGTCATCTTCTTCATCCTTCTGGTGTAACAGATTCCTCTCCACAGATGCATTTCTGTATGGCAAATCCTGGCTTTTTTATCCCTGCTGATAGGCTTGTTTGTGCAAGGGCAAAGGTCCCATCCCATGAGGATATTTTGGGGCTTAGATCGCATGCATAGTCTTCAGCATTTGTTCTTTGTTGCGAGGAAAGACTGGATAATCCT